AATTCTAGAATGACATTTTTCCAAATATCAGATCTATTCTAGCAGATCACAGAGTTGTTTTTCTTTTTTTTTTTTTTTTTTTTTTTTTTCTCTGTACACACTGTTGCTGGAGCATTCTGGACATTGACAGTGTAGAAATGGTACTCTTTGGTTCTTCTCAGCTGATCTCTTTGGTTTTCCTTAGAGTGATTTCACATCTTTGTTGTATTTGCAAGCTTGTCTATGGAGAAACCTTTGGAAGTGTCTTATTTATATTCAGAAGTTCTTGTGCTGTAGAATGTCAACAGCCTATTGAACTTTGCTGTTATCTTGTTGTATTCAAATAAGCATGACTGCAGTCAATGCAAAATTTGGGATTTTGCATTGACTGTAGCATTAACCTGTATTTTATATTATCTAGACAAAAACAATGGAAACTGCAGAACTTGGTGAATTCTTGATGTGTGTTTTTGTGTGGCAAAATACTGTCATATGAATGAATGCCCCATGTGCTTGACCACATATATATTGTTTTTCTGGTTCACTTGTGTCATGTGGCTACCAGGGTGGGATAGTCTTATAGGAGTGCTGCTTGTATTCTCCGCTGTAAGAAGTGAATCTTTACTCACTTCCTTTTACTGTATATGTAATCCATTGTTTGAGGAAGCAAAATGTAAGAACAGCTGTGCAGGCTAAGGCAGATGATAATTTACTTAATTATCTGTATCTTAGAAATTCTTCTTTATGACTTATTTCTACCACCAAATCATAGCTCATGAATAGTACTCCTGTTTGCTGGTTTTGTGTTGTTTTTTTTGTTTGTTTGTTTGTTTTTTTTTGTTTTTTTTTTTTTCCTTTATAAGCATATGATATGAATGGGTAGGATAGTAAAAGTTCAGTTTGCTTGGAAGAAAAGATCAGAGCATACAGAATGTCACTCAGGAAATGCCTCAAAACATAATAGGATTTTTTCCATGCAGGTATAGCTTGCCTAAATAATGCTTCAATGCTGCATAGTAGATGACTTTGTAGAAAACCCAGGTGAGTTAGCTGAGTGATTGATATGGTGTAGTTGCCGTTTGATTGATATAAAGTCTTACATGGGTCAATTGTTGGGATAAGTAATTACTGTGTGAGTCTAATTCAAGATTATCTGTCTGATTATGCTGCAAAGTATGCAAAGTAAGTAGCTTGTTTGAGTTTAAAATTCTGTGATAGCAGTATTCAACAAGCATTTGAAATTACTAGTTTCACTTCTGTCGTATTTTCATGCCTTTGTTATTATCCACACTGCTGGAAAGCATTGCATTACAAACTGCAGATCTTTCTGATTTTGCTTTTTGAATGTATGTGTATGTTAAGTATATGCATACACTTGCATAACATGCATACTTAACATATGCTTTATATATATGCATAATTTCAACACAATTTAAGCTTGTGTACACTAGAAGAGCTAGAGCTAAACTTGGAGGTTTTGTGGATGTATATTTGTGAATCGTAAACTCTACTGAACAGGTGTTTTTGAGTGGATAGTGTTCTTTTAGTATATACTTGTCCTGTTAAACACTCCTTTGAGTCTTCCTTCTACCTCATTATTACTTGAGGTAGATATTAATAATAAGGTAGAAGGAAGACTCAAAGGAGTGACTTACATGAATTCTGTTAGAAATAGGGGATTGGGAGGGAAGCAAACGAAATAAATAATGCTTTCAGTGGTAATACAGATTCATACTTTTAAAAAAATGTGACTTAATGATTATTTGCCAGCAACAGTTTGTTCCTGTAACTGTAATAATGTCTGAACAAATATTTCGCTTTTTGAAGTTAAGTCTGATGTCTGGAAGGTTCAGAATATGCAAGAAAGGAGTCTTTGATTAAGCTTACGTTTCTTAATTTCTCAGTCTCTTCTTTAATGTCTGCTTAATGCATGCTGTCTGTCTTGCAGTAAATCCAGCCTACCTTCTAAGGACAAAAATACGAGTATTCTTATCAAGGAGACAAGAATTTAAATAAAAGAGCAAACAGAAAAAAAAAAAAAAAAAAACAGAAGCCCAGACTGGTTGAGTTTGTTTTACATGGTTATGGAAAACTATTTCTAAGTAAATTAGAAAAATGCACAAGCTGATTTTTAGTATATCACCTATGTGCTTTTATGTTCATGCATTATACATGCATAAAGTTTGATTACGCATATATACCTTCATATATATAAATCAAATCTGAAATACTTTGTGCATTCCTCTAAACTTGTGAGTAGTACTTCAAAACAATGTCATTATTTGAATATTGTGAAATTAGAATAACACATTCGCACTGAACTTGTGGATAAACGGTAGCATCTTATATAACAAATCATCCAAAGTAAGAAGGATCATTTATTGTGTTATGTTTCTGAAGAAAGTTTCTTGCACATTTCTGAATTCTGGCTTATCCTTATCTTGGAAGAAAATGAAGAATGATTATGAACCCCTAATTTTAGGTAAACATTAACTTTATTCTTTTTATTTAAAATGCCAGTGCAGTAGAATGGGTCTCTGCAGGGGAGTTAGTTATATTATAAAAATAAATAACTATGTTAGCATTTTGAGGTTTAATTATCAAATAAACACTGTTTTAAATAGAAACTAGTTCAGTGTACTTACATTTGAGTCTTAAAGTAACAGAAGTGACAGAACTGTTTGTAAAAAGGTGTTATTAATGAAATTTTCTGAGTATTTTTTTTCTGGCTTGTTAGTCAGTTTGAATTAATGGTATATGAGGAAAAATTTCAGAATGTCAGAATAAGGTTCCTGTATTTCCTTTCACTTCTCTTGATTTTGCTTTAATTTTTCCATTCTCTTTCATTCAAATTCATTCTTTTCCAGATTCTATGGAGTCCTATTAGAAAGTCTGTCATCTTGTATTTTCTTTGAATTCTACCATGGATTCTACTTTTTTCTTCATTTTTTTCCTTAATTTCTTTTTTTAACTTTTTGATTTTGTTATGAAAGAGTAAAATATCCCTCATGTCCCCCTACGCTGTTCACTAGACATTATCTGTTTCTGATTTGTTTTCAGTATTTGCTACATGTGCTAGCTGTACTGCATTGCCTTTCTCAGTATGCCAAATCAGTTCAAAGGTTTGTTCCTTCCTGAAAAATATTTTCACTTTGCAGTGCAGTGTTTTTCATTTTGTAATAAATGTGCCATATTAAGAACAAAGTTTGGATACAAGTACTGTTTGGAAGGATAAATGGATACCTGTATATGGAGGAATGATGTACACAAAACATTTGAGGGTTGGTGGTAGGAGAAAAAAGAGAATAAAAACATTTGCAAGAATGGTGAGGAGATGATGTGTAGAAAAGGAGTAGAGGTCTACACAAGAGAAGCAGAGATTTGCTGTAACTCAGAAGTTAAAGATCTCTGCTAAAAAGTAAAGGATGGAACGGATGAAGGCAAAGATATAATCCACAAAATGAAACTGTAATACATTTAATGACTAAGACTTTTTCTAAATACGTAGATTAATGTCACTGCACATCTTTCTGATGCCTTAGTATCAATGTAGCTCAATAGTGGCTTAAATGATAATAATGAAACAACTCCGACCATCATCAAATATGTGAAATTAGTGCTTTTTATATGTTTTAACTCCAGGAATACTGAAAAAATTGTTTTTAATGTTAAACTAGTTGTTAGATATTTCAGCGTAATGCCTAGGAGGACAGAGAAGAACATTTCTATCTCATGGTGAGGCTGGTGTTCAGAAACAGATTTTCAAAATTGCCCCATCTATCTGTGAGGATTGTGGATAGCTTGCTGGTACAGCGTGGAGGCTTTGGATACCATAGCACAGACACTGTAAAGCATTTAAGCAAGCTCTGCCTGCCCTTGCATAGCTTGCTTTGTGTTCATGGCTGCTACCTGCACTCTGTAGGTTTCTTCTGTAGGTGAATTACTTAGTGTTTTTTGGTGACATAGATAGTGTTAGTGCTATTGACATAGGTACTGTTTGTCCTTACTTTCACATGCTGGTTTAAAAGCGGTGGTTATTGGATCAGTTTCAGCTGTATTATTTGATGCATGTTAGTTTTTTTTTCTTAATATGTTTTTCTTCTTTTTTGTGTCTGACATTGTATGAAGCAGAATTAACCATTTGGAACTTGCACACCTTCTGAAGACATACTTCCTTCTGTTAACCATTTTTTAATGTTTCTGAATGTGTTTCATTTAGATAGTATATGAAAGAGAAAGCAGTTGTGTTTTTACCCTGAGGCAACAGCTTCTTCCACAGTTATTACAGCATTATTACTATGAAAATGATGTATATAAATGCTGTTTTGATTAGTGCAAGGGGCACAACAGTCTGTAGAATTAAAACATGCTCCTGAGGAAAAATGTGGAGTGCTGCTTTATGTATTAAAAACTGGAGATGCTTCAATGCGAACGTCTCAAAAATAAAAAGCAAGAACCTAACAAGAACTAAGAAAGTTCAAACTGTTTTTTCTAATGGTGTTGAGATTTTGCTGTATGGTAGTTGCCATTGTTTTCCTTACTTGAGCTTCAAATTCAATTAGATGTATTTTCTTTCATATTGTGATATAATTTTTCTGTCTTCCTCACTTGATTTTTTCTCTTCATGAATTTTGGAGAGTTTTCATCTCTATGTTGTGGCTGGATTTTTAGTGTGTTCAAAGTGCAAGCCAAAAACTATTTTTAATGTAATCCTCAACCACAAATATAATTTGTACAAATGACTGTCTTTGTCTAAGCTTCACTGGATGATTTCTGTTCATTTCTGAACTTAATGGATTTTTTTGTTCGGTAGCAGCAAATATTTAGTTCCCCATTACTGTGTTTTATGTTTATGGTGCAGTTTTGGGTATGGTTGTAGTAGTACTGAAACAAAAAGAATGCTATAAAATTACATAAAGTAGATTTTTACATAACTTAGGTCTCAAATGTTTTCAGTACATGCATGTTCTTTTTGTAATTGCTTCTTGTCTAGCAGATTTTTTTTTTTTTTTTCTTAATAGAGACTCTCAGGCCAGCAGCAAGAGATAAATAACTTAATTCAGAGAAAAACTGCTGTGGATGAAGAAAATGCCTGTTTGAAGAATGAATTCAGTAATTTGAAGCAGAAATTTAAAGATAAAAGCCAAGAACTTAAGGTATATTGACTTGTACTAGTTTTATAAGACTGTAGCTTTGAAGTAGTTCTTTAAGCAGTGTCAGCCTTTGTGGCACAGAAAGTGACAAGCTTGGAGAAAAAATTGCCTTAGGCCTTGCTATACCTTACCATTTGCTCACATATGAACTCCGAGGAAGATGCTTTAAAGCCAGGAATCCAAGCTTTATAACTTTCAGATAAATAGTTAATGATGGAAATGGAGCAAAGAAAGTAGGAGTGTGAAGATGTGGCTTCTTGTAATTAGATTCTGATGGGACTGGCATTATTAATTGATAAAGCCGAGGTCTGGGAGGATATGTCTGTGTGGGTCTCAAAAATAGCTGGGGACAGCATCAAAGGCAGCTTGATCAATTAATGGGCTCTTTGCAAATGTGTACTCATCAAAGCTGTCATCCAGCTAAAAAATATGACCCTTCCACCTGCATGAAAGAGGCCAATAAAAGTACACAGGTGACCTTGGCCATCAAATATAGAAGAAGCTGCTGTGAGGGTAAAACTGCACAGTTTATATTTGCTGATTAGTTCTCACTTTTTTTGTTTATCGGCCCTTGTGGTACTGTTCTACAGGACACTGAGGAGTGTGCACAGAAGAAAGAAGAGCAAAACAGACTGGTTATAAAAAGCCTGGAGGAGGAAAATAAGGGATTAAATGCTTGCTGTGCTGACCTGCTAAATGACCTGGAGAAACTGAGGAAGCAGGAGGTGCAATGGAAAGCAGAAAAATCTGGCAGTGATGCCAGAATAAAGGTATGAAGTGGAATGGATTCATGGATGTTATTTCAGAAATAACTTCTCCAGACATTTGCACTACAAGTTATTTTTTTTAAATAACAAGTTATGTATTCAAATCTACCAGTGGGGACTTGCATTCATTTACATTCCTTCACTTAAAACCCACAGCTTTTTAAAAATTGATGTTGCAAAGCAGGAATCTGACTTCAAATAGTCATCTTAAAATGTAATCATTAAAAAAAAAAAGATACTGTATTTTAAGTTAAAATATATATGAAATAATAAAAGCTTGAAAGTATTGTCCATTCACAATTTTTTCTCAGTATATTATTTACTTGCCTATAAGTTGGTTGCAGTAAACTTGATATTTGTTTTGGAAGAACACATTAAAACTTTAACAGCAGTTTTGAATAAATTGTGTTCTAAACTCAAGAGGGCTCCCCTCTGTGGAGGCCTTATTATTGAATATACTTACACTAAAAAGTTATTTCCATTGTTTACGATAAAAAGAAAAAGGAAATAATTGGATACATTGTACAGAATACTGTATCTCTTATTTAAATGTTACTTTGTCCTGTTAGAAGAAAATTGCCAATTCCTATTTAATTTCTTATTTAAAAAGAAAGTTGCAGAGTATCAGAGTTTTTTATATTGGCTTACATACATGTTAGTGGATTCTTTTATTAAAATGGCTATTGAATTCTTAAAACACTGTTTTCTTTTATGCTATCAATGTACATCACCTTCCAGCATATTAAATATAGCAAATGTGCAATCAGCATGTTGCCCGGAAACATCTTCTCAACTTCACCCCCTCCTGCTTCCCCAGCAATTTAATTGTTTTGTGACACATCTGATTCTTTTACTTATCAAAAACCTTTGTACAGAGTTTCATTTAGATTTTTTAACAGTAGAATTTAAGTGGAATGGTTGTGGTTAAAAGATTATGTGATTTTTCAGAACAGTGATTGGATTGCTGGCAGCTTGAGTGAAATGATTTAATGACCTAGAAGTGTTTTAACATATTTCAAATTGTTTAAAGTATTGCTTGTAATATCTGATAATTTATTGAAAATTATTGTTACCAACACCTCCAATAAAAACAATGAAAATTCCTAGTCTGCCTGTTCTTCTGGCTACTAGGGCTTGCTAAAAAGAGAAGAGTGCATCACAACCATATGATTTCAGCAATTGGAATAGGTAGTGTTGGTGTTTTGTATTGGGATGACAATGAAGTTAAGATAGTGTGGCAGAAGAAACTTCATGAAAAAAGTGCTTCCTGAGCAAACCAGGAATGACATGCAGCTGGATCTCTGCTCAAAATCAAGAAAGAGCTAATTGGGGAACTAATAATTAGTGGCAAGCCATGGTAGTAGTGGACATGAAGTTATGAATCTCAAGAGCCTGAGAAGATAAAGAGAGGACAGTAGTACAGTACAGAGCTAGAATTAAGGAGTAGGCTTTTCAGCTTGGAAATAGCTGGAAATACGTGGAAATCCCCTGAGCCCTAAGAGCTCAGGAAAAGCTGTCAAGACTTTAAAGACAGCCTCTTCCAAGCCCAGGTGTCTTCCACTGTCATACTCTGGAAAACAGGTGACTGAAAACATGTGGCTGCATCTGGAATGCAGCTTGACTAAGCAGAACTCATCACCAAATGCTAGTGGATGGCAGGAAAATAAAAAACTGTGCAGGCATTGAGTGCTGCATAGGATGAATTCAGAAACATTGCGTGGGCACATAGGAGAAGTGGTAGCCCTTCTGGTGTTGAGGCTTGCAAGTGAGTACAGTTATTAAAAGTAATTTTTTGCACTACTGAAACTGTGAACAAGGAAAATGTAGGCCTTTTCCTGAGAGGAAGTATGGAATAGTGGCAGGAAGCAATAGATAAACCTTACGATATAGGCAGAGTTACAGAAGTACCTATCAGCAGTGGATTAAAGTGGGAGATAGTAAAGAGTACTTGACTTATACTTGATAACCATGGGATCAGCTGAACTGCTTCCAAGGCTGCTGAAAAGATTAATTCATGTCAGAAGTTGTGGAAATTATGGGAAGTCTCCAATAAAAAGCCAAGTGAACCAAGACCAAAGATGGGTCAGCCTCACTTCAGTCCTTAGGGGTACTACAGAGCAAGTCTTATTGGAATCAATTTCTGGGCACATAATTGAGAAAACAATTATAAGCAATCAGCATGGATTTACCTAAGTCATTCTTGAACAACCCCATTATCTTTTGTGATTAAAATAATTGCATCTGTGAACAACAGAACAGCAGTGAATGTGATTGACCTTAACTTTAGCAAGATTTTTTTTTGCATTGTCTTGCCATTTTCTTATACAGTCTAAGATATTACAGTTGGATGGATGAGTAACAGCATGTTAAAAAACAAACACAAGTTTTTGAATACTTGAATTCAAAGGGCTGTGGCTAATAATGGTGGGTGGTAATAAGTGGCATAATGCAGTATTAAACTTGGACCTATCTTGACTAATGTCTTCATTAGTGACTTGGAGGAGGAAATAGCAGGCATGTTTGTCAGGTTTGCAGAAACCTGAGGTGAGCAGTTGTATGGGAACTGCTGAGTCACGGCCTGAACCTCTGATTGATCACTTGAGCCGAGCAATGAGTCAGCCACGGGAGCACAGGTGAAGGCAATTCTCCTGTGCTGCTGGAAGGGGCAGAGCTTCTAGACCCATATGAGAGTTGACTACCAGTGGAGAAGGATCTCTTTCTGGAGACCCTCCTCTGGAGTTTTACAGTGAGTCCAGGGCACGGGTAAGCATTCTATCTATTCTCTTTTGTATAATAACCTGATTAGCCAAACTCTGGTATATTCTGTAATTATAGCATCTGTACATTCATTGATTATATAGCAGTTGATGTGCTTGAGGATACGGCTGCTCTGGAGACCTTTACAGAAATGTGCTGCTCGTGAGGACTTGTGTGTGTGCAAGGCTGTGGGCTCTTGACGGTACGGAACCATGTTGGAGCTGTGCTTGGAGAGCTGCAGCCTGTGGGACACCCATACAGAACAAGCTGGGGAAGGATGATGTCCTGTGGGAGGGACCCTGTATGGAGTAGTGGCAGAGTAACCATGGGGGAGCTCGAGAAATGGAGTGTTAAACACTGACTGCAGCCTCCATTCCCCTATGGTTCTCAGAGAGGGGAAGTAGAGAAGAGTAGATGAGGAAAGTGGTTTCAGTTTACTCTTAGATTTCACAGCTCTGGTCCCTTAGCAATTGGCAGTAAATTACATGAATCTCCCTTATCTCCAAGGCCAAGCTGGATGGGGGCTTTGAGCAACCTCTTCTATAAGGAAGTGTCCCTGGCTTTTGCAGAGGGCTTGGAACTAGTTGACTGTGAAGGTCCCTTCCAGTTGAAACCATTCCAGGATGGTATGATTATGCTGTGTCTGTTTCGTCCATGATGGTAACTGAGAAGTGATTGCCTTGTCTTTATTTCAACTCATGAGCTGTGTTTTGTTTTGTATTTTTTTTTTTTTTCATATTTGCTTCCCCTGTCTTGAGGAAGAGTGAGAGGGTGGCCTAGTAGAGCTTAGCTGCCCATCTGAGTTAAACCACCATGTTCTGTGATCTTGATGCCACCACTTGCACCTTTTTTTCCTATGTGAGGTTACACAAGTGACTGTACACCTTTTGGTAGTGGACTGTTTAGGTGAAGTTGGTTATCTCACAGGGTATTTGGAAGGCTTAAAAAGCGTATTAAAAATGCTACCTACAAGAGGGATTTTTTATGATTTTTAAACGGTACATACCCAAAAAGTGTTGTATGTCACTTTTGCAGACTTACTACTAGAAACAGAACTGGGGGTCTGAAATTCAAGTCGTAAAAGCAGAGAGGAAAAAACAAACCTGCTATGTCTTGATTGTCCATTTAATTTAAATTTTTAAAAAGTGCAGACTGGCAGATTTTAAGGGAAGGTGACCTAAAAGACAGTAGAATTGCATACTGTTCTGTTATTTTCTAGTTGGCAAGGTACCTGATGTCTGAAGGTTAAAGCTTTTAAAGACACAGTGAGAGTTGTTCTCTTTTAAAATGAAGCATACTGAGAAACAGATATCTCTGTCAAGAGGAGTCTGGAATTTTAGTTCCTCTGAATAATTAGTTTTGTTAAGATGGGAACTTGAAAAAATGTTCTCAGTTTTGTCAATTCAGAACAAGAAAAAAAAAAAAGAAAACAAAGAAACTGTGTTTAAAAACAACTTCCCTTGCTGTGTTTGAAGCTACAAGTAAAACCTTAGTTTTAATTCAACTTGAGTTCAAAACCTATGCAAAACTGTGCTTCTCCATGCCTTATCTACATGTATTTCCTTTCATGTTTTATTATTATTATTATTTTTTTAATTCATCTTGACTTTGAATTTTTGGAGTTTATTCTTCAGTATGAAGTAAATGAAATGCTTATGTAATGTTTTGCCTTATTGTTCTGCTGTATATCTTCATTTTAGTTTAGTTAGGGTCTTCACTTCTCGTGGGTAGAAGTGAGTAAGAAGTAGACTTAATTTTCATGCTTTGCTTTCGGTACAGTTATGTAGAAGCATCATATCCTTTACTGTTGCTTTTATTTTTCTCAGAAACATGCATTTTCTTCCCCATGAAATAGAATCATAGAATCACAAGGTTGGAAGTGACCTATAAGATCATCTAGTCCAACCGTCTTCTCATCACCATCACCAGCACAAGCATTAAATATAACTGAGCTACTAGGTATTTTGACTAACTGCATTTTTAAAAGCATTTAATTTAGTATATTTTGTAGTATTTTAAAATTTTGGTTGTTATCAGTCAAAATGTACAATTCAAATTAATTTGAAAATCAATTTTAGGAGAATTCACATTTCAGTATGCCTGCTTACACAATTAAACTACTTTCTCAAGTACTGTATCAACTAAAAGGCAATTAGTGAATTCAGGTAATTAAAGAAAATATTTAGGAATTGAACGTAGGAAGTTTAGAGGATTTGATAGTCTTGAATTCCTGACTGGTGCACAAAGATTATACTGAATGCTTCACTATATGATATTACAGTATTTTTCTGTTTCATGGTATGCTGTTTTTAATTTCTACAATTGTATAGCTTTATATAGTTGTATTTCACACAAAATCAGTTTCTACCTATTCTTTGTATCTTATCCTGCAGTGGATGATGCGAACTTGAGAATTGGTGAGATCAGATTTTTTTCATTTAACTTATACCAGAAGTTCTGCAACTTGTTAGTGCAGTATAGATGATACACAGACAGCATTTTTTCACAGAAAATGTGAGCTACTTTAAATAAACTTTAAAATTTCAAGTTGGCAATATTCATTTCACATAAGCCACAACTTCTTACCAGTGTGATAAAAACAATACTCAGGAGAAACCATAAATTATCTGATTTATTACATTGTTAGCCTTATTAGACTTTATCACGTGTTGATAGAATGAACTTTCTCCTGTCATTCTAAATCTATTCTCTGAAAACAGTAAATTTTGTTATCCAGCCTTTAAGATTGAATGGTGACTGCTCAGTGGAAGAAACCAGGTGTAATAACCTGAGAGTTATCATGAAACACAGTTTTTTCTATTTCATTTATTCATTGCTATTTCTCCAAATTAAGGTTACTATTTTTAACAGGATGTAATGATTAGTGTCAAAATTCAACAAATTTGATTGTAGTGCACTTCTGATACATCCAGATATGTAACTTCTGTGCTGTTTTAAATGCGGAAATTAATTATTCACTGGTTTTAAGTGAATAATGTCAGGGAACTACATTTCAGCATTTCAGAATAGTTTGATATTTGAGATATCATTGGTGAAAGGGAAATATGAGCAATTCTTTATTTCTTTAATTAAGCCTATATTTAAGTGGAAGATTTGGAACACTGTCCTACTAGGAGATACTTGTTTTAATTTATATACAAATCCAAGAATACTTGCCATACTGAGAATAAGTAATTATGAGTAGTGTAATAATGAAGTAGGGCTAAAGGCATTGACACACTCTGAAACTCTGATCTAGATAGTGATGTACTGTATCTGTTTCCATTCTTGCCTCAAAACACCCTGGGAGAATCATAACATCATAGAATAGAATCACACAATAATCATACAAACTTCTTAGATTCTAAAGTGCTATTCTAAGCACCTAGATTTCCAGAGAACTCTAGTTAAGATCACCATGTAGAGACATGTTATTCTTGTTTTGTTGAGCTAACTTGCTCTGCACGTCTGTATTTCCAGGATATATCTTCATACTGTGCTAACTTCCACAGTTAGGCTTTCAGTAAAAAAGGAGTTATGACTTCGTTTTCAATGAGCAATTCTATTTTTTTTTCCCTTGTTTACCATTTCTTTTTCTGAATTAGAAGTGCAAAATCAGAATATCTGAGTCTGACAAGGAATCTCACAAAAAATTATATCCAGGATTCTTATTCCTGTGTTAAATACTGTATGATCTTTGGAGAATTTTAAACAATAAAAATACAGCTGTTTTTGTAAGTAGTAACTTTTTTTCCTGTTTGATACCAATGCAAAAAGCACTGTTTGATCAGTAGTTAAATACTGTTGTATTACTTTGCAAGTTGCAATTCTATTCTGCAACAAATGAGTTAGGTGAAACTTCTTAGAGTATGTGTCCACCTAAAATTTGACGTGCCTTTTTTCCTGAATATCACATTTTCTAAGTATGCACACATCCATGTATATGTATTTATATTTGCTTAGGACACAATAATTATATATGTGTATGTATCTGCACATACATATGCCTAGACACATAGATAATATTCATAATTTTTAGTAATTTCAACTCTTTCCTATATGTTACTTTTAATATATTCTAAATGTTTCCTTTGCAGACGTTGGAAACCAATTTAACAGATGCAAGAGAGCAACTGAAAGAGTTAAGCAGTAAATGCAGTAACTTGTCATCTCAGCTAGCTGTGAACCAGAAAGAACTCACCCAAAAAGAATGTGATATGAACAGGATTAAGTGAGTATTTCATGGTTTGAAACTTAATTTGAACTCTGAATCTTATCAAGCAGTGCATTTTCATAGCATACTTTTCCACAAAATGTAAAATGTCTGAATGCGTAGCAATAAATACAAACTCTTTAATACTAATACTGGGCTTGAGAATGACCAATCTCCACTATAAGTAACAAAATGTAAGTGACGTAATCATTTAAATGGAGGCGGCAAATGCCCTAAAGATAGAAAAAAAAATAAGCCTGTCTTTAACTTTTTAATTGGAGTAAAATCTGATAGAATCAGCAAGAATCTACATAAGCCTGCGCTAAAAATTTGAAGTGAAATGATTTAAGCTTTATTCTAAGTCTTAAACATCTCATTTTTACACTGGAATTAGAAGATAAATGTCACATTTTTTGAGATATGGAAAAGAATGGAAGGAAGGAATGAGTATATTAATTCACTAGAATACAGAAGCCCTCAAAACGATGTAGAGGAAAGAAGTCAGGTTGGTACCTTTAAGTGGATTGAGAGGAAGTTGTACATTCTTCTCTTCAGTATTCCCTCAAGCTGTGCTTGAATTGCTGCAGTTGGGGTGCAGCTCATTTGTATGAATGTTCTACTTTTTAAATGGAGATATGTTTACAGTAAGGAGTCAGTATTAATCTTTCTGTAAACAACTAGAAACATGATCTTTGATGCCTCTGAAGTACATGATCTTCTACTATTTATTTAAGATTACTGGAAGAAGTGTTATCTAGTTATTTTCATATTTAAAAGACTAAGCGGTTGAGTTCTCAATTTTCAAACTTTCAAAAAAGTTCTAAAATGCTAATGTGGAAGTGATTAGGTAAATATTTACAGTGTTTCAAGCAAAATCTCCTTAGGTTACTTTAATCTTTTGGGTCTGAAATGAATTATTTCTGCTCTTCTGTTTTGACGTTCAAAAATACTATTTTTGAAAGCAAGCTTTTCCCTGTGATTTGAATTCATTTAGGTTTCTGTAATTTTTTTATTTCTCATTGTATACATCGTGAGATTCTACTCTAGGAAAGTCGGTTGTTTTTTTTGTTGCTTTTTAATAGTCTCTGCTATCAGTAGACAGTAGAGATTATGATTTAAACACTTCTCTGTGTATCATTATGTGTTTGTTGGGGAAAAGGCCTACATATTTTCAACTTTTGTGCTTAGCTGTAAGAATATTCTGTTTTCACTTAGTGTTGCTGGTGGAAAATTTTTGCTTACATTTGCATTTATTTGGTGTGTACAGTATGCAACATTTTTTTTACCTGTACTTACATTTGTATATATATGTCCCACTTGTATGTGTGAATATACACATCTAATTATGTACACATCTATAAAGAATATGTTTTAGTTGTACGTGTGAGATATGTGAATATAGGCATATATATTTGTAGTGCCTATCATGACCTAATTTAATCCAATTTGTAATTTTTAATTATTTATTCTGTTCCATGCACATGTAGGGGTATCATTTTAAGTTGCAATTGACAATCTTAACCTGCAGTAACAGGCAGGTGTTCCTTCTGTGGAGTGCTTAGTAGTTGATTTGAGTAAGCATGTTAGTAGATATTTTGGTCAGAAATTCATTTTATCTTGTAACTATTTTTCTGATTATCATGATGTTGATTTTATATACTGCTCGAGAAGACTTTCCAGGATAGTGTCCTGGGATATTTAAGTTTGAGAATCTCTAATGAATGAGATTCCACAACCTTTCTGGGTAGCCTGTTCCAGTGTTTGATCTCTGTTTACAAGATAAAAACATTCTTCCTAGTTTGATTTTGTGATTTTGTTCTTTCTCTCTTTTCCCATCTCTGAGAAGAATCTGACTGCATCTTCTTTATACCCACCCATCATATATTCATAGATACTATTAGTATTTATGAAGATCTGATTGGAGAACCTGTGCACAGTTAACAGCATCTCTGTTGTAACTGCAGTGCAAAATGGTGCATTTTCTAGTATATGTTCACCATCTTGGAGATGATACTTAAGTGTACGTTAGATTTCCAACCAAACAAGATGTGACAAGTGCTAATATATGTCTCTATTTCAGTGATTGTGCTTATGAACAGAAACAAATTAATATATATGAAGTACATATTGCAGTTGTACTTCTGTTTTGATTCACAGAGTCCTTGCTGCATTTCTACCATGGCTTTTTTTGAGATGCTACTTTATATCTCATTGAAAACAGTAAGACTTGAATACTGTAAAGTAAGCATGTCCATTTTTGTGTGTGTGTATGACGTTGTCTAGATGACTCTGTGGTTGCAGTTCTGTAATTATTCAGATGATGTACTACTTAGCAAAGGCATCAGTGTATTATGTAGTGTTGTGTTTTTTTTAAAGTACCCTAAATGAGAATAGTTGCTTTCTCATTCTGTGATTTCTCAGGAATTCACACAACAGTTGTTACTGATGCTTATCTTTTGTTACAGTAATCTTTGGGCACATCCAACAATATTATCCAAATGTAATGATAATTGATAATTCTTGTTAATTATAGGCAAAGAGAATTCACCTATATTTTGGAGTTCACCAAGTGAGGGTATTAGATGTTGTTGTTGTTGTTATTATTATTATCCTTTGAGGGTATTAGTATTATAACAAAACTTAGTTGGAGGGATAAATTTATAAAGTTTTCATTTCACGATTGTAAATATTCCAAGTTTTTAATTACGTTTTATAGCCTATGGTTTCACTAGAACTCAATTACTACTAATATGTTTGTAGAACTTTAACTGTTATGTGGGTTGCTCTGAAAATAATGTATCCTATTTATTTAATTATTTAATGTATCCTGTTTATTTAATGACAACAAAGATCACAATGTTATTTAATAGAGCAAATTCTCAGCTACAAAACAAGATTTTTTTCACACAGTCACCATCATGACAACATTAGCTATGCACTTTTGACAATAATGAAATAAAGTCTGCGTGCTGTGCTCCTAAAAATCTTTATGGCTGTGTGGAACATGGCTAGACTTCCATGTCTCTGCCATGGCTGAAACTCACCAGCCACCGCCTTACTGTGTTCACGCCCACTGTTTAATTTCCAGACATATTCAGCAAGTGTGAGTGACTGTCAGTGGCTGCCATTTTAACTGCATGGAGGAATTCAATTCCACACCTTTACTTCATATGCGCTTCCATGTCAGATGCCATTTTGTCAGACAGTAAGAAAATGTGATGGAAGATTAGTGGGAAGGTTCAGTCTCCACTTCCGTACCATCAACATCTGCCTCTGACATTATGGGACAACTAATAAAATAGGAGGCATTACTTTCAAAACAGACATTGTGTAATGCAGTACACACCAAACTCTCTTTATTTATGGTCTTTAAGATTTGCTGTTATCACAGACAAAACCAGTTTGTCAGAAGATGTACTTCATATGTCCAAGATGTAGATGCATTTCAGGAAAGAGAATTATATTACATACATGCAAATTTAGAAAAGCTTTTATCTTTATTTTCTGTCAGTTCTCGTTTAAAAAAAAAAACAAAACACTTCACAGTCTGTGTGTTTTACAAATATTTTACGTTTTGACACTTAACAGCTAAAGAGTTAAGTAAATATTGACTAGAAAGTGTTGATGCAGTAATGAAAATCCATTTATTTCAGAGCAGTTAGAGCCTTAGAAAGAAATTGAAAGACGTTCCCTTTTGAAAATTAATTGTTCTGTAGATATTTTACGAAAGTATATGGTAAATATTTTATCTGTAACTTCTGTTGTTTATAAGGCAATTGGCAGAAAAAAAATAAAAATAAGGACCTTGTTATCTTCAATAAAACTATTTGAACACAGTTGTTTAATAGAGATTATTGTTGTCCGTTTCTTAATTTCTCTCTATTGCTTGCTTTGCACAGGAAGGAGTTACAGGAGCTGCAGAATCTTTACAAACAAAACATTGCACATATGGTACAGCAGGCTCAACTGATACAGCAGCTTCAGACTCTTAATACTGACACACAAAAAGTGCTGAAGGAACAGGAAGATGTGCACACAACTGAAGCAATATCATATCAAAAAGTATGTTTTACGATCACAAGGTTCATATTACTATCCATAGAAATGAATAGTACAATAAGGAATGAAAGCACTGTGTAGGGGTGTGTCCTTTGGAACTCAGGACCTTTGTTTACTAAATGTGTTTGTTGGAGTAACAGGGTTTCTTGGCCTAATTACATTCCAGCAGCTATGGTCTCTTCTGTGTATTGAATTAATGATTTACTTACATCTGAACAGATATAGAAGAAGTGAGAAGCATATCAGCTTCTCTGTATATCTAGATTTTTTTTTTAGCTTCTCTCCTAGAGGCTTCAATTAGGTTTTTAAAACAGTCTCAAGAGTTAAATTTACTCTGCATAGCGGTTTTGCCAGTACAGCAGTTGGGGAAAGTTTCCTGTGAAAAATATTTTGCTAGTGTAAGTTACTTTCCTATGGAAAATTGATAGGTATGCTGGCACTGCCAGAGGCCAAGCCTCTTCTAACCTAGGCTTAGCTCAGAATTCATTGCTGGTTCAGAAAGCTGGCTCACAGCAGAACTTAAGGCTTCTGCTTACTTGGTGATAAAAGGAAAGTAAGAATATTGTAATACTGAAGACAAGCCAGTGATTTCAACTCACAGATAACCCTAAAATCTTTTTTTTTTTTTTTTTTTAGAATGTCTGAATTCATTTCTCTCTCCTAACATAGAGGAGTGATAGGAGTAAGGTTTACATCTTAAGCTGGGAGAAGACAACCCAAGTATTCTGATAAATGACTGTGTGATACGGGTGGACAGACTGTCTTTTTGCATTTCTCAAAACATTTAAGATGCCTTGAAAAAATCTTTTTTTCTTTTTTTTTTTTTTAAATAAAAATATGCCCCAAGAAAGTGAGCTCCTTAAATCAGAGCATAATAGATCTTCTAATTTGTTTGTCAAATTCAGTCAACAGAACTTTGGAGCAGAAAAGTTTTTTCCTTTACCATAACATCCTGTTATATACTTCTGACTAGTAAACTGTACAAAATATCAAACTATAATTTCTTCAAAGGACCATGTAGTTCCCAAGTGGTAAGGTCTTCTGAAGTCACAGGAGGCATTTGGAAAATTCAATGTCTATAAAAATGATTCAAATGCCTGTTTTTTCATTGAATGAGAAAGGCGAACAGTTGTCGACAAATGTGTATTCTGTTTGTTTTCTGTGTGTTATTAATATGCTGGCTGCAACAGCTAGATAAGGATGTGTTAGCTACTCCATAGACATTCACGAAGGAATATTTTCTAACTGCTCCAAATGGCATCGAGCCTATCAGCAGGTACATCCTATGATATATTGTCCCTTACAGCAAGATCAATGACCTCTTTGTTAATGGTCAGATAGGCAGTACATGCTATAGCTGAGGCAGTGTGGCTGGCTCACGTACTCCAAGTTCATTGTAGCAGTCTGCCATTTAGGAACAACTGCTCTTTGCACCGATGTTGATGTGGGTAGTATGAAGCAATAGACTGAGTGAAGAAAATATCTTTATGTTTAACCGAGATCAAGGTCATGAACTTGCACTGGATTATGTATAAATCCACTGAGGACTACAGTTCTCTTCCAAGTCAAGCTATAGTGGGCAACGTATACATGTGAAGATCTGTAATCTGTTTCATCAGCTTACATTGACTTGACGTACGGATACCTTTTCCTTTTCTTTTCCTTTTCTTTTTTAAATTTATTTTAATGCAGACTTTAAGGGTGCCATGTTCTACAATAACTCTTTCATGTTATAACATCTATGGAAACAAACTGATATCTGTTTCATATTACAGCTATAGTTCTCATTGTCAAGGATAGGGAATATTTTTCTGAAATGCATAGCATCTGGTTTAGTGGTCCCACGTACTCAGGGGACTTCATTCCTGTGCTGGATTTAATGAGACTCAATAGATTTGTCCTCACTGACGATTTCAAGGTGGAGATACTTCAATCAATAATAAGGATAATAAGACAAGAAGAGATTCTGAACTCCTTAGCTGGCTTATCACAGTTTTCTGGAATTTACAATTTAGGGCCTTTGTTTGTATAACGCAGTACTTTCTCTTGATCTTGATGTAGCCGTAAGGTTATATGTTAATTGTGCTGATTAAAAATCTCTTTGTGAAAAGCCCTTTTAGTGAGATGGAAATATCATTATTTGTTGTTAAATAGGAAATGATAATTAGTGCACTGAAACTTAGCCCCTGAAACAACAAATAAGAATATTGTGGTTTTGGTACAAGTAGGTACATACAATGAAGAAAAGCAATGCTCAGTGGTAGATTTTTGGGTAAATACAAAAACAGTAAGATTTTTTCAGTTGTGAGGCATCACAAAAATTTGCATCAAGTCTATTGAAGGTAGATGAAAAGAATATAGCATCAGATGCATTTTCAGATGTTGTATTTAATTTTCTGCCTGCAGTTGACTTTGCCAGTCCTTTTCATGCAGTTAGTCTAGGGATATAGTTTGCTTTCCTTTAAGTCCAAGAAATTGTAATCAGAATGTGAAGTTACTGGCTTTGCTAGCTTAAGGTTAAATTTCACCACTAACAGTCTTTTTCAGGACTGCAGGAACATTTAAACATAGTTATAAAAAATCATATCTATGTACTTATTCAAGTAGCATTGAATCCACAAAATAAAAACTAAAACCAAAAACATATAAATATTAGTAATAACGGTTTCTTCCATGAGTTGGAAGTTAAATGTACTAAAGGTTACATCATTGGTAAGTGAATGATCATCTTGTTAGTTGACTTTCTAGGTGAAAGCTTTCAGGAACTTAAATCTTTATTTATGATCACATTGCATTTTAGTTCCAGCTATTACACTGTTTTCTGGTGTTCAGAGGTTTGTTGATTAGGTTATTCTATTTATTTATTCTGTACCAAACTCTACTAGTATTGTTTCCTTACTATCAAGTGGGTTTTATGATAAGATCACAGAATCATAGAATCACAGAACTGTTGGGGTTGGAAGGGACCTCCAGAGATCATCGAGTCCAACCCCCCTGCCAAAGCAGGTTCCCTACAGCAGGTCGCACAGGTAGGCATCCAGGCAGGTCTTGAACATCTCCAGAGAAGGAGACTCCACCACCTCCCGGGCAGCCTGTTCCAGTGCTCCGTCACCTCACTGTAAAGAAGTTCTTGCACACATTCGTGCGGAACTTCCTATGCTGCAGTTTCTGGCCGTTTCCCCTTGTCCTTCTCCATTCACCACTGAAAAGAGTCCGGCCTCGCCATTCTGCCCCCCACACCTTAGATATTTATAGACACTTTCAACCTGCTAAAAGTGAAGAAATTCTGTATAGACTATAAATTTGTCATGATGATGCTAAACTCTGCACTCACGGGTAATATTCTTAATATTTGAAAAATCCTGTGTGGAGTGTACAAGAAAAGACATACAAAGAAAAATCTTAAAATTAAACTTATTGAAGTTTTTTTTATAGTAGCTACTTTGATTTAGATTAATTATATTTTAATATTGCTGAGTTTTTTTGACTAATCAGATTGGGCTCACAATGAAGGTTTTAAAACTGCACTGTTAACGTTTTCCTGCATTAACCAATTTGATGTCCATTACAACCCTGCTGAATATCCACTCCAGTCTGTGCAGAGAAGATAGCTTATGTTTCTGAGATTGAAGTCTTATGTTATGGAGTATAATTTTTGTTGATTTAGGTCAGTTGCCCTGGCTGTATTCTCAACCTTTCTCTTGCTCTCTGCAGCCTGCTGATCTTCAGGGTCAGGTTGAGAGGTGCTGTAGAGCCAGCCTTGATGCTGTGCAGCACTGCTTGTCGGTAGCCAAAATAGTGCTGTGAAATTGACAGCACCAGACAGGCCTCTCTGAAGAAAGTGAATTCTATCCCAGGCAGACCTGGGATAGTACAGTGCATAGTACATATGCAGTGTACACTGTACTGCATAGTACAGTCCAGTGAATGTTCTGTGTGTAATCTGGAGTGCCTCTTCAGTTTCATCCAAGAACTCCTCCAGCTGGTTTCTGTCCTTATTTTCCTGGAATTCTCCTTCAATACTGTGATCTAGTGACATGACTGTCTAGTGACAGTACCATAATAGTTTCCCTTGTAGTATTACTTTGTCTTAATTTAGACTTTTTTTTTTCCATTTATTTCTTAACTTCATGTCCAGTATTACTAACTAGTAATTTGCTAACTAAAAGTTAGCATTTGTTTCCTCAGGTCTCTGCAGTGATGTGCAGTATTTGAAGGGGTGAACATTTTGTTAAGTGTTTAATGTAAGATAATATTTTATACATGTCATATATATATATAGTTTTATTGTTTTATATAATTGTTTTATCATTTTATATAATTGATTACTGTTGCATTTTAATGAGCAGATGTATTCAAGTGTTTTAGATCCTCACAGGGATATACTTTTGAAAGAAATCTCTTAGCTATCCTCACTTTCTGTACTTTAGTTGATATCACAGAAAAATCTGTGAGTGTTCACTAAATAATCCTTTGACTAAACAGAACTGGAAAATGTGTTGCAGCTGTTAATTGCATTCAGTCTAAACCTAGTTTAAAATAAGTCCTGCATACTTCTATAATGCATTCATCATTTCTGCCAAATGTTTCACAGTTTTTTTTTCAGTTGCACTATGACTGTGGCTAATATACTGTCTGGTAAGTTACATGGGTGAACTACCTAGTTTTATTAGCTTTTATTGGGATTTCTCAGCCTTTGACCTGATCTAACTTGCAATCACGTGTATTTAATGGCTAATGCCATTTTTCTATGTTGTATGTGTATATTTATAAGGAAGGACTTTAAATCTTTTCTTCTGCCCTATAAACAGAAATATTTTTATATCTTGTCTTGGGGATTGAACAATTTTCTCATCAAATCTCACATCTTATTAACAATCGTGAGGTGCAACTACTTACTTTTTAAGTGCATGTTTCACTCTTTTCTCTGAAAATTACTTGTTCTGATATAAATAATGTATAGTATTTTTGTCTTCTTTTTTTCTAGTCAATGTTCTTTCTCTGATCCTCTAGTCTTTTACACATTGTCACCTCTACACATGAATTTCTTCATTTTTTTAAATGGTTGACCTATTTGACCATAGTGTTCAATTTTGTATGTTCAAGAATGCACTTATTGCTGCGTGGCTCTGGTGTTTCTTCCAAACTAATTGCAAAATGAGCAGAAAATACCTGTATAATCCTATACCAAAGCTTAAGCATTTATTAAATCCACAAAACGATGATGGCAATAAATGAGAAGACTAGGAGCTAACCTGAAATCTGAACACTTATCTCTGAGCGGTAGATAAACCTATTTATTTTTATTTAATTTTAATTTTGAAATTTCCTGGTGTTAAACACTTTCTGTTTAATCTCACTCCTGTAAGCTAGTGCATTGATGTTATTTGAAAAAATGCATATAACTCAGTGTAAAAAGAGTAAAAATTGTGTGAATTCTGTGCACATCTCTTTTAGCTAGTTTTATACTTCAAATCTCTGTGTTTGGTTATTGTTGTTTTCAAAGCAGGGGAGATTGGAAAAGTTTATGCAAGTAAAAAGATATGCTATTAGTCTTGTTCTGACTCATACTTACTACCAAAATTATGCATTGGCTACACTGGGGGGATGTGGCTGCCAGCTGAAAAAAAGCATCATATTTTTGATGTTCTCCATTCATCTTACTAGGATGCTACCTTTCAGATACTGTAATTATGACCACTTAAGTGCTGCTAGACATAAAACCAGCAAATTGTCATTTCAGTATGATCTAGCTAATGAGCTTATATAGCTATTGCTGGAAGTAATTGTGTCTTGATGTTCCATACATTTGGAAAGACATTATCTAAAAATGCATGTTTTTGATAAATAAACTGTTTATTTTCCTATGAAATACTTACTTATTTCCACAATCAATTGCCTAATCGTGAACTTCAGTTTCCAGAGATGATGAAACTATCTTAAATAATAAGAAAAATTCAGTAGGCATAGAAATTTCAATGTAAAGTTCCATTTTTTTAAGGCTGAAAATTATCAATGTATCTGGGCATAGAATTAATTTTGCCTAGGAGACATGATTTCTAATCTGTTTTGGGAATAGGCAAGATGTAATTACTTTGTCCTTTGGGAGTCATTAGGAGTAGAAGATGATAGGAAGAAGGAAAGGAATGAGGTTCATTGTTTCCAAATCTCCTACAGAGCGATAGGTAGACAGTTTCCAAATGTGATAGATTCTTTTTCCAAAGGGTTTTAATCCTGTGCTGTGTAAGCTGACAACAAAGTGTATCATTCAAGTAAAGGCAACAAGACAAAGACTAAAATGAAGAGTAAAGTAACGTTTTTAGTTGTGAAACAACTGCCATTAAAAAATATGGATAGCCTCTATGTTTCTGATTTTAATATTTAATTAGTTTCTTTTGGGTGAACAGCAGAAATGGGCTTTCCAAACTGCTAGCTGCAGAAGTGCATGTCTTGCACAGGTTATTTCATTGTAGAATAAATAGAGGGAAATTGTTCATTTGGAGAAAAAGAGCTTTCAAAGAAATAAAGAACTGCAAAGAAAGAAGGGAGGAATGTAGGTTTGAGTAGTAAATATATACTTCCCCTCAGTATGGAAACTGCTGTTTTTTTTTGTTTTGTTTGTTTTTTTGTTTTTTTTTTTTTTTGTTTTTTTCCTTTAATGAAAATGTGATTTTGTTTTTAAGGCTTCATATCTTTATATTAAAAATGTGAAAGTGGAGGGGTGGAATAGGTGTTTTCTTGTTCTCATGAAATAAGTTAGTCTTGTAAGCTACAAGGCACATAGTGCTTGTTATTACTTAGGTGTAGTTCTAGAATCTGTTAATGCATATGGAATGTCCTATAAAGTAACTGCAGAATATTTGCGATATTCTGGTTCCATCAAGAACTGTTTGAACAGCCACAGGGATAACAACTTCTAATAGCAAGTTTGGGTTTCATAGCTTGTATGAAAAAATTCTCCCAAAATGATTATTTAAACAGCTATTTTTCAGTTCCTACAAAGTGCTGGGACATTAGTGGATTCAGTGTACTGCTATCCAACAGATATTAAAAATGCGTGTTTTTTAAATATCAAAATATTCTACATAAGACAAGTATGTTATTTGTATTCTCAATCCTTTAATGTCATTCCCAGGAAAGATGATTCATTTTTTTTTTTCCAACTTCTATTAAAAAATAAGTGATATTTTTTCTCTCTACGTTTTATATAGCATACTAAAAGAAAAAAAAAAGAAAAAAAAAAGATTTTCTAGGTCTGTTTTTGTTAGTAAATGCCATGAAAAAGCACTTGAAACTGCTAGTATTCTGATGTAATATGTATATATCTAGAAGAACTTGTTTGAAACTTAGAGTTTGTTACAATCACTGTTTTCCAGTGTTTAGAGCATGCTGTGATGCATGTGGACATGAAATAAGAAACGATTGTCCAAAGAGAAGGTGATCTTTGTCTCAAAATTACATAAATTATTCTCCCTCTCCTTTTCTCTTGCATTTACATTTCTGCCTTCATTTTTATCATTCTCCCTGTTATTTTTAATCTCATTTTTTTTTTTCTCCTTACAGCTTTATAATGAATTGACTTTGTGTTTTGAAACTTTAAAAACAAATGAAATTCAGCTGCAACAAAGGTATGCCTCTCTTCAGGATCAGTTACTTGGAAAAGATCAGAAGATTTGTCAGTTACAGGAACAGCTTCAGCAGGCTCACGATGCTTTGAATATGTTACATCAGAATTCTTCTCATGACTTACAGGTGAGACCACTTCTGGAATAACACAAGTTATTTCTTCTAGTTTTAAATTAAGTTTCTGGACAAAGCAGTTTAATAGGAAATTGCAGAGGGTTTTCTTGGTTTGTTTCTTAAGGAAAAAATGTGTTATTGTGCATCTGCAGTTCTGTGATATTCTGCTTTTGCTAACGGTATTTTGCAAGTAAATTCTATCTGCCCTAGGAAAAAAAACTGAGTAGTAATGTCTATATTCATCCAAACTCTTATTTTTTTGCTGTAACAAAGCTATGAAATACACCAAAAAATAAACACAAAACCAAAATGCTTTTATTCCTGGAAAAAAAAAATTAAATTTTTGCATTTTCTCTGTGAAAATGAAATGTATGGGTCTTCATTTGTTGTGTTGTTCCTGACCATGGAAATAAACTTTAGATTATGTATAAAGAAAGTATTTTGGTAGAAAGATAGATTTGTTTAAAAATCTCTAAGGGTTAGCGTATCATTTGGAAGTATTATAATAAATCTTTCACTAATATGCTTCCAGCTTTGTAATTTGCTGGATCTTACACTTACACTTGACATTTTCCAAAGGCCATTTTGTGATGTTTTTATGACTTAAGAAGAAGCAGTGTTGCCAGCAACACTGGGGAAGTGATTGTCTGTAGGCAGCACTCCTGAGACTGCACCTTCAGTAGCCTGTTTGGTTTTGTCCCCTCATTGCTAGGAAGATGTTGAGTTGCAGGAATGGGTCAGAAATGAGCACTGAAGCTGGTGAAGGGACTAGAAAAAGAGAGTTATGGGGAACAGCTGATGGAATTGGGGTTGTTCAGTCTGGAGGAGAATGAGAGGAGAGTTCATTACTCTGTAAGGAGAGCCTGAGAAGAGGTTGCAACAAGGAAGGTGCTAGCCTCTTTATTCAGGTGACTAGTGATAAGGTGTGAGAGGATGGCCCCAGTTTGCACCAGGTTTAGATTGGATATTAGGATTTAGATATTTAGATTGGATATTATTTCATGGAAAAGGTGAGTTTGAGTTTTGGAACCGGTTGCCCAGGAAGTGGTAGTTACCATCCTTGGAAGTTGTTCAATAGACACATGAACATAGCATATAGGGATCTGATTTAATAATGGATTTGGAAGTGTTAGCTTGACAGTTGGATTTGATGATCTTGAAGGTCTTTTCCAACCTAAATAATTCTGTGACTCTATGATTCTGTACAAATCTTCCCACAATGATATTGTAATCTCTTCTGCTTGATTTCTTCCATTTTTTTCAGTGAAATATACTTACATATTTTGTATTTTCTATCTATCATTTTTGGGAGAGCAAACTACTGAAGGTGATAGATTTGTTAAATGCAAAACTTAGCTTGGATTGATAAAGTAGATCTGTAACCAAAGATTGTATTCATGAACACAAAGAAGCTTAGATGATAAAAAAGCATACTGTTTAATTCTTAAAAGTTTATGTCAGTAATAATCTACTTTAAAGCAAAAGAATATAATATCTCCCTGGATTTGTTCTTAATGGTCATTTTAGAGTTATTCTAATTTTATCCGAAGTATTAATTCAGTGTTTAAGATTCCTTAAGATTCTTAACCTCTTTTTTATAAGATTTTTAAACTTCCTCTTTATTTGATGATTTTGTTTTACAAATGATAAAATGGATAAAGTGGAAGTCTTTCTTTGTTCACATTTTTAATACATCCTTAACCTTTTTTGTTTCTTTTAGAATGCTTTGGTAGATGTTTTCTTGAAACTTTAGAAATATAACTGATCTCAAGAAGTTTTTGCAGTTTGTCAGTGGTCTGACTTGATATTGCCTCAAAGTTAATTACATAGTCAGATTGTGCCCCAAGTGAATCTGGTGTAAATCTTTGGCATTAGCTTTTGTTTGTATTATCCTGAATAGTTTAGTAATATTAGCAAATTTTATTGCTAACAAGGATCTTGTTTACTTCTTTAAAGAACTTCAGGAAATTTCTGAGTAATATTTTACAGGCTAATAACAGCCTACAGTCATCAGCTCTACTTTACATTTCATTTCCTTTAGATGTTTTAAATGAATTGAATCTAGTGTGTGTTGTTACTGTAAGCTTTGTTGATTTAGTCTGTGCCTTCTTGTGGTGGCATCTGAACTTGAAGTATGTTAACCAGTATGGACTGTGTAAATTAGAATCCAGATATGGAGCATTCCTAACTAGCTGAGTGATAAATATGGATGCAAGTGTATTTTGCTTGTCTGTCCTTCTCTTGGCTCTGTGGTATACTCTCATTTGGGTCATGTATCAGCATTTAGGCTCTGTGGAGCTCTCCTTGGTCCCAGTATGTTTGAAACAGTGTACTTGTTAAACTGTTCAGAGAAACTGCACCAAAAATTCACTCCTGTTAGTGAATATAGGTTCAGTCTGTCCATCTGTAGAAACAGTTGAGATTTATGTGATCTGTCACAAGCTCAGTCAAATACTTACCAGTGATAACAAAAGGAGACATATGTAGAATCATTTGAATTGGAAGAGTCTATTAAAGAGAATCTCATCCAATCCAGCCTGCCACGGGCAGCATTGCCACCCACAAGACCAGATTGCTCCATTAAACTTGGACTTGATCACCTCCAGGGATAGGGCATTTGCAGCTTCTCTGGGCAACCTATTCCAGTGCCTCATCACCTGTGAAGTGAAAAACCTCTTACTTATATCTAATCTAAACTTCCCCCTTTTAGCTTATAACTGTTTCTCTTTGTCCTGTCACTATCAGACTGTGTAAAAAGTCTCTCTCCATCTTTCTTATAAGCTCCCCTTAAGAACTAAGGGACTGCAGAGAGGTTTTCCTATGGTCTTTCCTTCTGCAGTCTGAACAATCCCAGCTGCTTTAGCCTTTCCTTATAGAAGAGGTGCTCCAGTTCTTCCACTGTTTTTTTTTTTTGCCCTTCTCTGTACCTGCTATGATGAGAAGTATATGTGCTTATATAGTAAGCTAGATGTAGTGTACAAAGCGTCTTTTTTTCAGTAGATCACTCTTAGTCCAGGCTGGGATGGAACTAATGGTTAGTGTTAAAAAGCTGCATCATCATAGGGGAATGATGCATAGTAACTAATTGTGGTTACTGAACAATATACATTCAATATACTTAATGTTTAGTATTAACTAACATTCTTTCATTCTGCTATAACAAATATTTCAAATTGTTTTCTGACAGAAAGACATGAGTATGCCTTTCTGAGAAGTGTTGTAATATCCCTTGTTGAGTGCATTTTGATGACAGGCAAATATTATAATAGTAATAAAATTAATAACCTTTTAATTAATAACCTTTTAATTAATAACCTAATAACCTCTACCTTTTGGATTAAATACCTTTTGGCTTTGGAAAGATAGTGACTGTTGTGACTATTGTGTACTTACACAGCTGTAGATTCTACAAGGGGAAAAAAAATTTATTATCTATCGTTAATTCTGGGACCTGTTAGGTTTAGCAGACCTCTTAACTGCTGTCTCTTGATTGCAGCATCAATGGAACAGGGTGAATTTGGAGTTAAGAGGAAATGTATGCATCTACCAACTTTTCTTGTTACTGTTTTTTGAAAGCAATTCTTCTTAAATGAAATTGGAAAATTGGATTAAATTGCAGTTACATTTCTATCATAAAGTACTGATTTTTTGAGCAGGTTGAGATTAGTGGCTTGCTCAACGTTTTTTTGAACATGCTGTCTCTGCCAGCAGTACTAGTACACCCTCAACAGATTTTCACAAACCAAGAAGATTATAGATCAGTGTTACGTAAGAAAGTTGTTTGTTTTTTTGTTTTTGTTTTTTTCTTCTCCCGGTATTTGTAGTTTTCTTACTGTTGAAGTTATAATTTAGTCTGGAAAAAAAATAGATTTTATATCATCAGACGTACTATGCAGACTGTCTCAGTTTCCATTTATTAAGGGTAATAATTACTGGTTTTCTATGAGTATTTCACTAATTTCAGTTTATTTATGTATATCACACATACTGATTTTGATTGAAGTGGTAAAAAGAAAGAAATCAATTTGAGTAATTCTCTTTTATTTTAGTTGTTCTCTATGCATATGCAATATTGCATAGATATGCAATATGAATATTTTGAGGATTAATTTTCTTTGTCTTCCTACTGACGCAGTATATCAAGAGGATAATATCCTGTTTGAAGTATGTTGCTGTAAATTTTGTTTAATAAATTGGGAACATTTTAGTTACCAAAACAAATCTGTAACAAAATGCTTTCAATGTTACACCTGCTTAGATGTACTTTATCTGTTTAATTTGTTTGTCTAAGAAGTTTGTCTTTCACCTCCTATACGACAAAGCTTTCCATAAAATATCTTCCAGTTTTTAGAACTGTTCATTTCATTGTGTAAGTACTGAAATTGATCACAAAGATCATCAAAGGCAGTTTTTTAATCAACTAAGAAGTATTACAAAACATTACCAGTAGATAAAAGGGGGGATTCTTGCCCTGTGCTCGGCTCTAGTGAGGCCGTGCTTGGGGTGCTGTGTCCATTTCTGGCCCCCACTGTATCAGAGACCTAGACATACCAGAAGCAGTCCAGGGCTACCAAGTTGAAAATGGAACCAGAACACCTTTCCTCTGAGGAGAGTCTGGTAGAGCTGGGGCAGTTGAGCCTGGAGAAGAGGAGGCTCAAGGAGCAACTCATCAAGGTATAAATATGTGAAGAGATAGTCTTTTCAGTGCTGTATGGTGCCAGGATAAGAGTCAGTGGGCACAAACTGCAGCATAAGATTTTCTGACTTGAGCAACAAGAAGCACTTCTTAACTTTGTGTGCAGTACAGCTCTATTGCCCAGAGAGACTGGATTCTTCTAGGAGATTTTCGTGGACACTTTTCTAGCCAGCCTGCCGAGGTTGTATCTGCTGTATCAAGGGTTGGACCAGATGACTAAGATTTTTGAATGGTTGTACTCTTCTAAGTTGCAAGCTGTCAGTTCCTTGGAGAATAGGTTTATAATATATGAAGATTTATAATAGTGGATGAAGAC